AATAGAATATAATGTGAATAAAAACTGAAAGAACAGTGGATGCTGAAAATCGGCAACAAAAACAAAGTTGCTGGAAAAGCTCAGCAGGTCTGGCAGCATCTGTGAAGGAGGAAACGGAGTTAACGTTTTGGGTCCGGTGACCCTTCCTCAACTGATGGTGACTGGGGAAAATGGCAGTTTATATGCAGAAAATAGGGAGGTATAATGTGAAGATCACTTTGGAAGAGAGAACAAAGTATTTTATACTATACAATTCTATGCAGCATAGAAACAGGCTCTTCAGCCCACCAAGCCTGTGTCAATTCCTAATCCTTAATTAGACCTACTACTTACTGCCCCTGTGTGTTTTCTATCTTTCTTCGCCTCACGTAGATGTGCCTTAAATGTTGCTAACGTGCCTGCTTCCACCACCTCCACTTCCATCCACTACCCTCTGTGATAAGGTTGCATTGCACTTCTCCCCTAAACGTTCCCCCTTTCAGCTTGAACCTGTGTCCTCTTATAGTTGACCTTTCCACCCTGGGGAAAAAGCTCTCTATCCAACTTATCTATGCCCTTCATAATTTTGTATGCCTCTGTCAGGTTGCCCTTCAGCTTCTGTCTTTCCAGTGAAAACAGTGAGTGTATCCAACCACTCCTCATAACTAAAGCCCTCCAGATCAGGCAACATCCCGGTAAACCTCAGCACCCTGTCCAAAGCATCCACATTCTCCTGATAGTAAGGTGACCAGAATTGCACGGAATATTCCAAATGTGGCCTAACTAAAGTTTGTACAGCAGTAACATGCCAACTTTTATATTCAATGCCCTGGCTGATGAAGGCAAGCATGCTGTATGCTTGACCATCTTATCCACCTGTGATGCCATTTTCAGGGATCTGTGAACCTGAATGCCAGATTAAGACTATCCTTTAATGTCACATGTATTCATTATGAAATACAGTGAAACGTGTGTACTGTGGCACGTACATGGGCACTGTTTATGTTAACTTCAGAAAAAAATTTTTAAGAGTTCAACTTTGCTGTTATAGCATGCCACCACTAGAGTCCCACTCTGGACTGCCCAGCCCATTCCATGCCATCGAGTGTGTCCTACTGTGGGCTTCATCAGCCCATACCATGCCACTGAGTGTCCCACTCCACATGGAAGTGAGAGTTCCGTTACAGGCTGATTGACTGCAGCTACGCTGCCTCTGAAGACGCCGTCACTCCAGAGCCCATCAAAGGCACCTCCTGCCAAAGAGCTCTCTTTATCAGGTAAGTTTGATAAAAAGCGGAGTGGGAGAAAGTTTTTTTTTAAAAAAAAATGCAGACGAAGTGGAGAAACCTGGGCACAGGACTGTATGTCAAATGTTCCTAAGGGTCCTGCTATTTATTATATAATTCACACCAAATTTGATCTTCCAAAATGCATCAACTTCCATTTGTCTGGAATAAATTCAATCTGTCATTTCTCTGCCCAAATCTACAATCTGTATCCCGCTGTACCTTTTGACAATCTTCCTCACTATCTGCAGTTCTGCCAATTTTGGTGACATCCGTGAACTTACTAATCAGGCCACGAACATTTTCCTCCAGATCACTTATATATTACAAGCAATAAAGGTCCCGGTACTGATCCCTTGGAAGACCACAAGTTATTGAACTCCATTCCAAAAAGCACCGTTTCACTGCTATTCTCTCCTATGACCAAGCCAGTTTTGTATGCATCTAGCCAGCTCACCCTAGATCCCATGACACTCTACCTTTTGTACTAGCCTGCCATGAGATACCTTATAAAATGCCTTACTAAAGTCCATGCAGACACCATCCAGCGCCCTTGCCTCATTAATCATTCTTGTCACCTCAAAAAGAGCCATGACCTTCCTTGCACAAACTCATGCTGCCTATCACTAACAAGTCAATTTGTTTACAAACGTGAATAATTCGTGTCTCAGTATCATCTTCAACAGCTTCCCCACCACTGAGATCAGGCTCATCGGCCTGTAATTACCTGGATTATATTGGCCATTCTCCAGTCCTCTGGAACTTGGCCTGAGGTCAAAGAGGGTGCAAAGATATTTGTTAAGGTCCCAACTGTTTACTTCCTCGCTTCCCATAACATCATGAAATAGATCCTGTCTGCAGAGGGCTATAGATAGGTTAAGTGAATGGGCAAGTGTCTGACAGATGGAGTACAATGTTGGTAAATGTGAGGTCATCTATTTTGGTAGGAATAACAACAAAACTGATGTATTTAAATGGTGAAAAATTGCAGCATGCTGCTGTGCAGAAGGATCTTGGTGTCCTTGTGCATGAATTACAAAAGTTGGATTGCAGGTGCAGCTGGTAATTAAGGCAAATGGAATATGGTCCTTCATTGCTAGAGGAATGGAGTTTAAATATAGGGAGGTTATGCTGCAGCTGTATAGGATGCTGGTGAGGCCACACCTGAAGTACTGTGTATAGTTTTAGTCTCCTTAATTGAGAAAGGATGTACTGGCACCGAAGGAGGTGCAGATGGGGTTCACTAGGTTGATTCCAGAATTGAGAGGGTTGGTTTATGAGGAGAGATTGAGTAGACTGGGAATATACTCATTGGAATTTAGAAGAATGGGTCTCTTATAGGAGAAACATTTAAATTATGATGGGAACAGACAAGATAGAAGCAGGGAGGTTGTTTCCACTAGTGGGTGAAACTAGAACTAGGGGGCATAGTCTCAAAATAAGGGGGAAGCAGATTTAGGACTGAGTTGAGGAGGAACTTCTTCACCCAAAGAGTTGTGAATCTGTGCAATTCCCTGGTGAAGCTGGGGCTACATTGTTGAATGTTTTTAAGATTTTTTTGAACAGTAAAGGAATTGAGGGTTATCATGAACGGGTGGGTAAGTGGAGCTGGGTCCATGAAAAGGTCAGACATGATCTTATTGAATGCACAGCAGGCTCTAGAACTAGAAGGTATAATTTCAGAATAAGGGAGTTGCACATTTAAGAGAAATGAAGAATTTCTTCTCTGAGGGTTTGGAATCTGGGGAATTCTTTACTGCAGAGGGCTGTCGAGTCTGGATCATTATGTGTATTCAAAATTGAGAGATTTTTAATCAGCAAAGGAATCAAGGGTTATGGAGAAAATGAAAGAAAATATTTTTTTCAGAAACATCTGATTTCTGATTTCCAGCATCTTTGGCTTTTTTGAGGGTTATCAGATCAGCCATGATCTCATTGAATGGCAGAGCAGACTGGATGGGTTGAATGGCCTACTTTTGCTCCAATATTTTATGGCCATTTGGACCAGCTGAGTTTCTCCAACATTCTGTGTATTTTGTTTCAGATTTTGCTTTTATTAGAATAGCCAGAAACTTCTGGTTAAGATGGCATTGGAGTAGGATGCTCCAAGCGGAACTCCTCTGCTCCTTTTATTTATTTCTTGTTTCTTTTTCATTTTTCCCCCTTTTTCCTTTTTTTTTCCCCACTTTTTAGTGTTTTCCCCCTCTTGGTGTTCACCTCCACCATGGCAGGTTTTGGCTAGTCTCTTGGCAGGTCTCAGCCTGGTCTCTCGGCAGCTTGTGGCGGGTTTCGGCCTAGTTTCTCAGCTGCTCGTGGCGGGGCGAAGCCTGGTCTCGGTGCTCTCAGCCCCGCCTCTCAGAGGGGAGGCAAAGGCCTAGTGGTATTATCGCTGAACTAATAATCCAGAGATCAAGTTAACATTTTGGGTTTGAATCCCACCACGGCAGATGGTGGAATTTAAATTCTATTTTTAAATTAGAATTTAATTCTATTTTTAAGGATCTAGTGATAACCATGAATCTGTTGTCGATTGTTGGAAAAACCCATCTGGTTCACTAATGCCTTTTAGGGAAGGAAACTGCTAACCTTACCTGGTCTGGCCTACATGTGACTACAGGCCCACAGCAATGTGGTTGATGGTCGACTGCTCTCTGGGCAATTAGAGATGGGCAATAAATGCTGCCTAAAAGCAATTCCCTCATTCTATGAATGAATAAAAAAAAAAGTCGGCCAGTCTCATAGTGGCTCATCGTGGTGTCTCGGCGTGCAAGTGGATGATGCCTGGGCATGTTCCGAGGCACGGGGGGAGGTCGGAGCGGCGTCAATTTCAACAGTAGAGACAGTATCTGCAGTGGTGGTGTCAAGAACAAACAGCTCCGATCTATTGGAGAGCGAGATAAACGGAGGACTCATCAAAGAGTGTTGAACTTTTAGCTTATTCCTTTATTTTCATAGTTTAAACTATGAAAGACTTTAATGTTTACTATAACTTTATTTCTTTATTTTTCTACTTATTCTACAGGGTAATGCTTAACGTTTTAACTCTAGTTTCTCTTACTACTTTAAACCTAGGTACCTTGGTATCAAAGATGGCGCCATGTGTGGCGACATCAGATGCATTTCACTTGAGTATCCTTGACCATAAAAATCTGAATAAATAAATAACATTTGATGTCTGGCAAGGACATGATGGGCCAAAGTAAAAACTGAAAGAACTGTAGATGCTGTAAATCAGGAACAAAAACAGAAGTTGCTGGAAAAGCTCAGCAAGTCTGGGAGCATCTGTGAAGAAAAAGTCAGAGTTTTAATGTTTCGGGTCTGGTGACCCTTCCTCAGATACGCCCAGACCTGCTGCACTTTTCCAGCAACTTCTGCTTATGGGCCAAAGTAACCCTATGATCATGCGTGGAATTGATGCAAAAATGGTACCTGACCCCATGAGAATTTCCAACATTAATTTTTTTTTGTGTGTTTGTGTCAGATTCTCTACATCCACATTTTGCTTTTGTTATGATGCGCTGGTATAGAAGCACAGAGGCAGCCAATGTACTCGTGACACATAGCCACAGAGCCCTTCAGCCTAAGCAATTAAGGCGTCTGCGGGGTGACTTCAGGCCGCGGGGCGCCTGCGCACTGAGCCACCTGCCTGACAACGCATGCGTGGTGAGCGACAATGCGCCCACCAGCCGCAGCGACACGCGCATGCGTCGTCAGCTCGATTGTTGTTAACCCTGATGGACATGAGCGCTTAAATGACGGCGCATGCGCTGTGGGGCCCCTGGATTTTCGGAGGGAAAGTTGTTCCAGAAGATTCCTCGAACGAGGCGTCGAGGTGAAAGATGGTATGGATGAGTTAGTGAATAAGGGCAGCGGCTGGCCGGTAACTCTCACCCTTCACAGACGGTTTACTTTCAAGATTTTGAAGTGGGCTTTTGTAAAATTAAATTTCTCCTTCCAGGGGGAATCACATGCGGCAACACGAGGCTGGGAATGTAAGGCCCACATCACCATTATCGTCCTCAAATAAATACCTTTGCTTCTTTGGCAGGGCCCCTTCCTACCCAAAATACGCCATAAATTCCAAATACCCCATCACCCCCCCCCCCCGCCCCCGTACTCTATCACTCCCCAATAGCCTCATCACTCCCCCAAATATCCCATCCTCCCCTCAAAACCTCATCAGCCCTCATACCCTATCACCTCCAAATACTCCATCAGCCCTATACCCTTCAAATATCCCATCACCCCTCAAATACCCCATCCTCCCCACAAAATGGCATAAACCCCCAGTACCCCATCACCCCCTAAATTCCCCATCAATCCCCAATATCACCACTGTCAAATGTCCCACTGCCAGATATCTCCCAAATATCCCATCACACTCCCAATACCCCATCAACCCCAAATTCCCCAATACCATATTACCCTCAAATGCTTCATCACTGTCAAATAACCCATCACCCCCGAATTGAAACACTTTGTATGGAACAGCCAAGAAGTTTGAATTTGGCCAATTAATTTAAATGAAGCACCTTGATACAGAAAGCCAATTGAATTTAAACCTTATGGTGTTGACAACCTGAAACCAATCATATTGTAAGAATTTGATTATTTCATTATGGATATATAAGACGAGGGCATTTGGAAAATCGGAGAGAGCCAACTGCCATCTACCAGAGTTAGCACCGTTCAGCTCTCTGAGAAAGCCCATCTAATTGATCGAAGGTACCATGGTATTTTAGCTCAAAGTCCGCACAGGATAAATTACAGAGAGATTCAGTGGAAGAAAAGCATTCGCGGAGAGACTGGAGATGAAAGAATATTCAAGAAGGCAGTCTGTGAACTTGGAGAGATTAAGTTATAATTTATTGCTTCTCATTAATTGAGTTTATATTAGTGGGACTTGTCTTTATTTAAACAGCATTCAAGGAGAATTTAGACTAGTTAGGGAGTAGTTAGTCTGAGGGGGAATTGTCGGTTTGTTAGTAATTTTGTCAATTTGTTCATTGTTGGGTTAAATAAATAAATTGTTTCTTGTTACTTGTGAAGTGGAGATCATGGATTTTCTTTCTTTTAACCACTCTTTTAATAGATTACGAGGGGAAAGGCGAGCTTCTCTGGGTTTATCGGGGTAAATATTAGAAGGGAACCTGTAATCCCATCATAGCAGATTGAGGTTTGTGTTTTGATTTAACTACCAGAGAGGTTCAGCCATTCCCCTGTTGTAACAAAAATTGGGGGCACGAGTCTGGGATCTGGATGGATTTGGATAGATGGAGTCTGGGAGCTGGACAGTTTGTGTAGGGATCTGAACGGATTTGTACAGATTTACACAGACTTGAGAATTAGTGTCCTGGGTCTTTAAGTAAAATTTAGGTAAGAAAAATCTGTTTAATTTTGGTTACGTGTCGTAGGTTAAATTAAAATTGAGGGAAATGGTTCTGAACACTGCTAAAGAGGTTCTGGGATTTGAGTATGTTTCCCAAATTTGCCAAAAGTTTAGAAAGACAGAGGAAGGATATACTTTTAGAATTAGCCAGCAGGTTAAATTTGGGTTTAACAGGATAAAAAGAAAACTGAAATTGTAATGGAGTTAGTCAAGCGCTTAGGTATATCAGAGAAGCAGGCAAGTGCAGTGGAGTTACAAAAATTTAGATTGCAAGTGAGACAACTGGAGTTACAGAATAAAAAGGAGGCAAGAGAGTTTGAATTATGGTTACAGGCAGAGGAGAGGGAAAGAGAGAGGGAGAGAGAGAAGAGGGACAGAAAAAGAGAGAAGAAAGGGAAATAATGTTCGAGTTGGAAAGTATGAAGTTGGAACATGAAGCAAAAAGACTTCAAATGGCAGAAGGGAAAGTATAAAATAGAAGCGAGGATGAGCAAACTCATAGTAGTCAACAGCCTAATAGGGATATATAGAAATATGTCAAAACATTACCAAAATTCAATGAAAAAGATGTAGAAGGCTTTTTCATTTTCTTCGTGAAATTGGCTAAACGGATGAACTGGCCAAAGGATATGTGGGTAATTTTAATTCAGACCAAGTTGGTAGGCAGGGCTGGTGAGGTGTTTGCAGCGCTGTCAGATGAGGTTTCAAGAGATTATGAAGAAGTAAAACAGGCTATTTTGAGTGCCTACAAATTGGTACCAGAAGCGTATAGACAATGGTTCAGAAACATAAAGAAGGAACCAGGTTAGAGTTATGTCGTGTTTGAAAGGATTAAACGTAACAACTTCGATAGATGGGTGAGAGCATTAAAGATGGAAAAGACATATGAGGATCTTAAAGAGATTATTCTGCTGGCAGAGTTTAAAAACTCACTTCCGGAGATGATAAGAACTCGTGTTGAGGAAAATTATCAAAGTAAGGAGAGCTGCAGAGATGGTGAATGAATATGCATTAGTGGATAAATGCATAAGTTACATTCCGTGAGGGATAGAAATTGGGAAAAAGGGAGATTCTACAATGAAAAACAAAAAGTAGATCACATTGGGAGCAGAGATAGCAGGAACTGCAGATGCTGGAGAATCTGAGATAACAAAGTGTAGAGCTGGATGAACACAGCAGGCCAAGCAGCATCAGAGGAGCAGGAAGGCTGACGTTTCGGGCCAAGACCTTCTGAAGAAGCTTCATCCAGCTCTACACCTTGTTATCTCACATTGGGAGCAGTTTACTAAGAGTGAAAAAAGAAACCCAAGAGGGTGAAAAGGAGGTGAATGGCCTCAGGTGTTTTCACTGTAATGGAGTAGGACACTTAAGAAAGGCACTGGGATAAAGAATGTCAGCATAGAACCCCACAGTGTGGAAACAGGCCATTCAGCCCAACAAGTCCACACCGACCCGCTGAAGATCATCCCACCCAGACCCATCCTCCTAAACCTGCATTCCCCATGGCTAATGCACATAACCTACGTATCCCTGAACACTAGGGGTAATCTAGCATGGCCAATCCACCTAACTTGCACATCTTTGGACTGTGGGAGGAAACCCGGGCATCTGGTGAAAACCCATGCAGACACAGGAGAAAATGCACACTCCACGCAGACAGTTGACTGAGACGAGAATCACACCCGGGTCCCTAGCACCGTGACGCAGCAATGCTAATCGCTGAGCCACTGTGGTAGAAGATGTTAAACCAGTGGGATTAGTTGAGGTAGTGAAGGAAATCCCAAAACGAGTCGAGGAGCTGCAGGAGAATGTGCAGCTTAGTTATGGGCTGGATAGTGAGACAGTGCCTGATCTCTACAAAGACTTCACCTCTGTGGCTAATGTTTACTCAGTAAGAACAAAGGGAGAAGGTAAAGAAGTTACAATATTGAAAGATACAGGAGATTGTCAGTTTCTAATAGCAAGAGATGAAAGTGTTTGCAATCCTTCTGAAATGTTACCTGAAAGAGCAATAATCTGTGGAATAGATGGACAGAGATTTAGCGTTCCCCTGTGTAAGATCAGATTGGAAAGTCCAATCAAGACTGGAGAAGTGAAAGTGGGAGTGATTGAAAGAGTGTCAATTCCAGGAGCACAGTTTGTTTTTGGAAACAATCTAGCAGGATCAAAAGTGACAGCGAAACCCCTTGTAGTGGAGAAGCCGAATGAGAACCAGGGAACTGAGGAGTTAAAAGAAAAATACCCTGGAATTTTTCTAGACTGTGTGGTGACAAGATCCCATAGTCATAGGTTAAAGTAAGAGGGGAAAACCAAAGAGAAAGACGAAGAAGTTGAGGTCCAGTTAGCTGACACCCTGTTTGACAAAATGGTAAAGGAAGATCGTAAGCAGGTAGAGGATCAGTCCGAGGTGTTTAGTTCTGAAAGATTACTGGAGTTACAACAGAAAGATGAGACAATACAAGATCTATATCATAATGCCTACTCGGCAGAGGAATCAGAATGTATTCCCAAGTGTTATTACCTTGAGGATAGAATCCTAAGACGAAAATGGAGACCTTGGCAGGTTTGTGCATAGGAGAAATGGGCGGAAGTGCACCAGATTGTGTTGCCAGCTGCATACAGACAGGAAGTATTAGAGGTAGCACATGAATTACTGGTAGGTCATCATTTAGGAGTGAGGAAGACTCAGGATAAAATACAAAAGCACTTCTATTGGCCTGAATTGTATAAGGATGTGATTGAATTTTGCTGTACCTGTCATACTTGTTAAAAGGTAGAAAAGCCAAAGGAATTAATAAAACTAGTGCCTTTGGACCAGGAACCAGAGAAACAGGTATCAGTTACTGCCCCTCAGAGTGAGGAATCAGAATATGAATCATTTGATTTTGATATGCCTCAAAGTAAGTCAAATAATGAGGAAGTCATGGGATAGAATAGTGAGCTATCTGTCTCGGGAACAGAAGACTGAATTGAAAGGTTTGTTGCAGAAATATGAGGACATATGTGAGAATAGAATGAGGAGGACTAGTGCTATACTACATGAGGTTGAAGTAAGGAATGCTGTTCTGATAAAACAACACCCCTACAGGCTTAATCCTCTTAAAGCTACACAGGTACAGAAGGAAGTAGAAGTGATGCTCCAAGAAGACATCATCGAGCTGTATCAAAGTGCATGGAGTTTGCCGATCGTGTTGGTTCTGGAGCCTGATGGTACTCAATGGTTCTGCGTAAATTATTGGAAGGTCAACGCTGTAACTAAATTGGACTCATGCCCAATTCCAAGGCTGGAGGACTGTGTAGAAAAAGTTGACAAGCCACTGATGTCACAAAGTTGGACTTATTCTGTGGTTCTTGGCAAATATCTTTGTCAGAGAGAGTGAAGGAAATTTCTGTATTTGTAACCCTAAATGGGCTGTATCAATTAAAAGAAATGCCCTTTCATACTAAGAACAC